CTGTGATATGCTATAGCTCTCCTTTCCTGTACGTTATATATATAATGACTTAAACACGTGCTTGACAACCAATAGTATAGCGTATGGATCTGTACTTACCATGCTATATAAACATAATAAAATACTAATAACGAACATGTATATTGGTACTAAAATCTATATGAGACACCATTTACTTAATAAAAGAATGAGACATGCGTATAAGCTATATATATATCTCTTATGCATTGACCGTAGGCTGGTGATTTCTCTCGTTTATTTAGGGAAATGTGTGGAGAGTTCTAGGCTATTTGTTCCCACGCCGTGTTTTACCTATAAAATAATAACAGATGTATACATCCGTGATACTCATTATATACCAATAAAGGAGACGATAATCTAAATAGTTTGACAATGCCTATATAGTGAGTTCTCTTTACTCTATACATTTGACTAATAACCCGAATATAGTTTGCTGTCACTTAAAACTTAGTCAATCCCTGCGGTGTGTTATCAGAGTTCCGCAGAACAGCCGTTTCTAGACGAAAATCTAGCTGTCCTTGAACTTTTAGACAAAATTCTTGCACGCCGTCAATTAGATTATGTTTCAATACCTTTACGGTTTATAAGATCGAACAAGGCACAAGCAGTTCAAGATTAATGTTATAATGTTTGAGTATTATACAATTTTTCTTATTTGTATTATTCATACAATCCGTTACTACCACCATAAATATCAAACCTGAACTTACAGTTTCTACATTAATGGAATAGTTTTTCATTTTGTTCATCAGTCTGAAAGAAACGTTTTTACTCTTTCAGATACATGATTCTGTGTTTTCTTAAATTTTCAATTAAAATTGAAAAGCATACTCAGAGAGTTAAATTCGCCCCAAGGACACAACAAAGAGAATATGTTGCCGCAGGTTAACATTATCAGCAATCAGAATATATATAAAGGATTTTCAATGTCGCTAAACCTGTAATATATGTACCGTGAATATGATAGCCTGATTTTCGCTTATTCTGTAACATCGACCACATAGACAAAATTCTGGCACTATAAGGACGCAAAACTGAGAGTCCACAGCCACAAAATTACAACACTGGCAGTCCGTGAGATACACGCATATACAGAGGCTCTCTAATGGGTCCCCGCTTAATATCACATGTTTTTGACGACTTTGACAAGATATTCCTATTGTCATGAATTCAAATCAGATGATATTAAGATGAAACCATCAAATTATTTATTATTAAATATGTAAAGGGAAAGCGAATAGAGACAATATGTGTTTATGAAACACTATGTCTCCGCTTACAACAAATTCTGAAGTGAGACATTGCACACTTTGTGAAACACCTAATGTCATCAGTGTGATAATGTTTTTTTTTTAACTTTTAAATGTAGGTCAACGGTCACTGTCAAGTCACGTGGTCAAAAACCACCAGCACGGTCTTTTTGCATTGAACACACATGCTAAATATGAAAGTCATGTCTTATACAAAATGTAGATCAAAGGTCAAGGCCGCATGGTCAAAATGTTTGGTACCAAGGGAAAGGTCGTGTTACAAGAAACATATCTTCCAAACATGAACGCCCTACCTTTTACGGCGAAATAGTTATAGGCAAGGTTAAAGTTGACAAACAAACTGAGAGAACAAAAAACAATATGCCCCGATCTTTCGATCCATAGAAAGTATATACAAACAAAAAGATATTAACACTCTCTTGGATGTTGGATAGTTTGACGTAACACTTAGCAACAAGACAACGCCATGTCGAATTGGGTTTTCCATGGGATATTCCAGCATTTTATTGCTGTAGTCTACTAAAAATTACTAACAAATCTTTAAAAAAAATCGAAATTCAGGTGGACGCATTGGATGTAAAGCAAACCTATTTGGCCTTTCCACTTCATTGGCCTCTGAAAATGAATTTAATTGTAATAAAACGCTCTGATTTGTCAAAATATTACTACTGGAAAATTTATAAAATAATATGTTAAAAAGCTTTCCAATGATAAGAAATCGTAAAGTATCATAAGTGATGCAGCGGGGAAAAGTTTTTATCAAACTAAAAAACTCCTATTTTGTCGCAAACAAAAATTATATCGTTTCAAGATAACATATAAATTACTTTTTACTGATACGATAACATGCTCGCTTGCCCGCTTCAGAAATGTATCTTGTATGTTTACGATCTGTCTACCTCAGGGTCTGGGTTTTTGTCGACTTTATATAAATCACTTGAGCATCTGAAGCAACACGTCAGAACGTTCGTGCCGTCATAAAATAGGAAGTAAAAAAACAGGTAACACATAACTCAACGTCGCGTTTACATGTTTTCTATTTAATGGCGCTGCTTTGAAAGCCGAAACAAGGCCAGTAAACTTTGTACAAAGAGGTGAATCTGTTGAACAAAACTGCATGGTCTTGTCAAGTAGGAAACTTGATCCAGATGTGTCAGTATAAAAGACAAGTTGATTTTAACTTACAACGACAGCTGCCATTTTCTCTGTAATATTGAACTGTGAATTTGATGGCCTGTTTGTCGCTTAATTTATGATATTGAACTGTGAATTTCAAAGCCTGTTTGTCGCTTAATTTATAATATTGAACTGTGAATTTCAAAGCCTGCTTGTCGCTTAATTTATAATATTGAACAAAGCCTGCTTGTCGCTTAATTTATAATATTGAACTGTGAATTTGATTTTCACGTTCCCAACAACAAACAACAACAACAACGACGATGACGACAACAACAACGACGACGACAACAACAACAACGGAACCACCAAACGTAATATCACTTATCAATGTCAAGCATCAAATCTCACAAGGGAATGCATTTTGGCAATGATAGCCCAAAGATAATAAAAAAAAAACTTCCCCGGAATCTTCTCCTCTGGAACCCGTGTTCTTTGATGTGATACTCCATCACACCTTGCATGAAAATTGTGATGTTAAGAACAAACCCCTGAATATCAATCAGCATGTAAACGCTATAGGTTGGGAAATGGAACCTTGTTCTCTAGAAATAGAAAACTCCGAATAAGGAAATCGTGACCATCATTCTTGTTCTACAGCTTTGTGGAAAGCTGTCCCTGTCCGAATAAATATGTTAACAGTGAAATTGATGGACTTTGTATGGTATTTGTGACCTGCTATCATAACAGTTTGCTACCATAAGTATGCTTATATGCTGTCGAAAGATCTTACCAATAACTCTAAGATCTTGTCAACCACAGATTCGATAATCTTTTCGTCCTCCGTAAATTTCTTCTCAACATTCTAGTGGCGTGTTTTTAACGAAACAATCTTCAGTATAATTCACAATCATATACTTGTATTGTTGTTCACCTTTGTTGGTAATAAACGCTCTAATGCCAAAATAACGTCCAGCTTGAAGGTGTATGTTAGTGCACAAAATGGAAAAATCAAACGTTGCTTTTAGAAGAAATATTTCTAAGAGAGGGTAATCAACATTGTACAAACGTTCCATGTCGTCCTTGTACTCTACATTTTGGAGGTAATAAAGTTAATAACGAGGTCCAGAGGGTCTGTACCGCTCGCCTGATTCTGCTTCATATCTTCCATCCCTAATGGGCCCACCTCTATGCCTCAAGCATGACAGGTCAACCGTTTTATCTAAAGATCCTGTCGATTTCAAATGTAGAATTTTGAACAATTTCGAGTATCTATATTTCAGAAATTATTGCTATACCCAAATGATGTTTCTAACTGATTTCCGATGACATTTGACATTAAGGAGAAGTAGAGTTTTCAAGCAAAAGTTTCGAACATTCCGTTTTTGACAATGACATCCCCTTTTTTCACATTTAAAATTTCTCACGTCCCACCTTTTTGTCGAAAACAATGGAAGGGAGATAACTCCAGCATAACGATATCGTCTTATCCATTGGATAACGTTAATTTAAGATTTCGAGTAAACACACATACTACGTACGCTCGTCGTTTGCCAAAGAAAAAGTCATGATTTTTCATATATATATATATCATATAAATAGTAATTATGAGTCAAAACGGCAACAGGGAAAACAAGTTTCAAAGAAATCTGTCAAAACCTGAGAAAGGGGATACCTGGACAGGTAAAAAAAGAAATGTTTAAAAAGGGGAAATAACTCTTCCCAAATCATAAAATCAGAATGTCACACAGGAAAACACAATATTATGGTATGGTTATAAAGCCTGCAAAGTTTCAGAGAAATCGTTGAATTTTTTTAAGGAGATCGTACAAAATTTCAGTTGCTAACAATCAAAGGGCAATAACTCCTTCAAAAATTGTTGAATTAACATTATTGGGACAATAACTTTTCTATATATGGTCGAATCAAATTGCATATCAGCTGAGGCGTATATACTTTCAGTATAACCAAATTTCAAATCATAATGGTGATTAGGCCTACCAAGTGTGTAATAATTCGACTGAAAACTGGGCATACCGCTGGACAAATTAGATATCAGGAAAAAATAGGAAGCGGTAACTTTTCCACACATAGCTAAACAAATCTGCTGTCGAGGAAAACACAACTTCATGTCATGGTCATTAAGCCGATCAAGTTTAAAAGAAATCATTTGAAATTTCAGAAAGCTATCCGGACAAGATTTACATCATGGAAACAAATGGGTCTGTAACTCTAGATCTTTCAGATACGATGAATCACACTGGCGTTCTGGAAAACGCAAGTTCATGTGATGGTGATTAATCCCACAAAGTTTGAAAACTGATAGAGGTGATCTTTGGACAAAATTAAGAAGGGGCAATAACTCTTCCAACTAGTTTCAAATCAATATTCAGTAGAACACTACATATTCCATGTCATATTGTTAAAGTCTACTAAACTTGAAACAGATCGGTTGAAAACTGTGGTAGAAGATCTCTGGACAAATAAAAATTATGATCGACAGTGGTTTGAAGAAGTTAAATGCCATACCATGATATGTTTCATCAAATTTTTTTTGAAGGCGCATTAAATAAATACTTGTAACAAAAGACACAAACTTTTTATCTAATTTTATTTGTCAATTCTGAAGCTTGGTATAATAGATGAAAACTTTTATGCATCATAAAATTCATTCCACATGCATACTTTGGTAAATAAATTAGCTACGTCTTCCATCAATTTCCTAGGATTACAAAATAAATAATCGATTTGTTTAAATGTGTTAAAATTGATCTGGAATCTAAAACTCTGTTAAATTTTAACCAAAATCATACTTCCATGAAATTATAAAGATGTAAATAAAACAATTCACCAAGTATTTCATATCAACAGCCAGGTACAGATTTCTATTTACAATTCAGTTTGCTGACTACAAGTTAAAACTCCAACATTTATTGTTAGTCTCATTAAAACTATTTGCAAAGTATCTATCAGTGTTACAACACTGGTTAAAAGTGACAATCTAAACTTCTAAGAAATAAATAAATATAGTTTTTATCTAAATGAGCATTGCAGAAATTTTACAAACTTTTAACCTTTATTTAATATAGAGACATTTTCGTCATATTCTACAAGAAAGCTTACAATAAACTATAAGAAATAAAAAAAAACATACTATTTGTTGAAGGAGCACTAAGTAGGTCCTATTCTAAGTCCAAACGCCACTTAATCAGAACCTAAGGAAATGACTATGAAGGCATAACTAAGTGCTTGTCAGCTTCAATACTAACCTAAATAAATCTTAATGATTTATAACTGTGTCAAAGAATACTTTTTTATGTTCACTTATGGGGAATATTTCCAAATTGCAAAGATTTTCAAAATTTCTGTCGAACAAGTTATCACACTTTTTCATTAAGTTTTTATTTGATGGATGTATTTGGGAAAAAAAAGTAAACTTTTCTTTGACACTGAGATAAAATCAGTCAGCATTTTGCTATGATGATAGATATCAAATTTGTAAACCCTTTTTCCATTAACAGATATCATAGATCTACTCTCTGCTGTTGGTAAAACCACTTCTTGTTCTTTGCTGGCATTAAATTCAAAGGTAAAATTTTAACTGGTCTTCATTGGGCAAAATATCCTAAACCAATTTAATCAAAGTTTCAAAAAAAATGACAGATAATATTTATCAAACATACCATTATCTATTATTCTATGTTTAAAATATGTTAATTGAAAGAAGTCTCTAAAAGAAATTCAGAAAAAATGCCATTTGTATATTCTTTTGGTTTTACCTTACATTTACATTAATCAATTCTGACCTCCTTCACAAAGTAAAAATATCCCATTTCATAGGGTTTTTTTTATAACTTATCATTATGGAAAGAGAATTTAACAAACTTGTTGTTACCTGTTGCTCTTAGGTAAGTGGTCAAAACAGAGCAAGGTACACGTTTTCCATTCTAGAATTAAAGAACCAAGTCATTTAAATAAATATTTAGGAAATAAGACGGATAGACTCCAGAAGCCAGACACAAACCTCTCAAACTACACTGACTTATAACATTTGTATAAAAAGTAGATCTTATTGAATGACATTAAAGTATCATTTATACCAATCGTGCACTTACAAACAAACTAGTATCTTCTAAAACAGTGTGAAATTCTTCAATATAAAACAAGTCTATTAAAACCTTCACAGCATTGCTTTTGGTAGTAATGCTGTAATTTGGGAGAAGATAAAATCAAAGAGAGAAAAAGCTAAAATTAAAATATCCTTTAAAAAGTTATGATTATGTAATTTTATAAAAATGTTGCTTTGTGCATTCAGTTATTAATTGATGGGATTATTTCTTCTGTGCTTGTGAGGTCTCCAAAAAACAAAAGAAGAAGAAAAAAGAAGTTATAGATTCATCTCAGAAGCACAGGATTTTAGAATAGCCAAAACAATTACATTTTAACAAACTAGTAGCATGAAGTTTATTTCCGATTAATCTGACAACGTCTGGGAAATTCAATAATTCCAGAAGTCAAATTCACAATAATTACCAATTTTGTAATTTTTCTACCTGTTTTGTTAAGTCAAAATTTACTCACTATCACTGCTTTAAGTGTTTACTTCATGCTACCAAATACTGGCTGATAGACACTCCTACAGAAGGTGTTACCAAGTTTGTCTTGTGTTTCTACTCAAATCATAACATCTTGCCTTGACTGGTAAAATAAAACAGAAAAGATTAAGTCAACGTTTATAAAATATAGATATATATATATATATACAAACCTTATAACTGGTTATTTTCTTATTTCAAATGTTATGCCATCTTCAATCATTTGTTTTGCCAAATTACTATCAATACATCCCTGTCTTTTAAAATTAACGAAATATTTTTTCATAATATTTACCAATTATACACCTACTTTCAAAAATAACCAGTTATACAGAATTTGATTTAACACATACACACATTCTCCATCAGGGCACAAATCAAACACACATCTAGCCGTGTATATATGTAGTGATGGTTATACGGTACAGTTACACACCTAAGTATTATAGCTAGGTCTTACATATATACAAATTCTATATATAGAATCCAGACACAACTAACCTCATCTTTTAGTATATTCACGTAACATGTACAGAGACAGAAGTCTCTAATTCACCTTCCTACACAATACACAATCAAATATCCTTTATGCAAACTACATCTACCACGAATTCACACTTAATATAAAAGCAGGTCGTGAATTAGTCTTTCTCAACTAGAAACTCTCTTGTATCAATTTGGTATCAAATGTCAAATTATATTAAGGTCTGAATTTTCACTTCGTTACGTATTTTTTCATCATTCTCAGTTGAAATCAATTAAAAAAATTTACGAATTGAATACATTGAAAGGTTAATAAGATGGACTTTTTTTAGATAAATTTTCTCTAACTGGTACATTTTCCGAACATTCATTCAGATAAATGGGTGACAAAATATTGGTTGACAATTGGAAACATTAGTACAAGATTCTTGGTTGAAAAAGACTGAATATGAAATGGTTCCATTAGAGTGTAAATATTTACATGTATGCGAATGAATGAGGTCACACACAAACCAGAACCAATATCATTACCTTACAATTACAAATGAGCCACAACCAGGCCACACAGTTAGCATCATCAGCAACCATTTGAGGGACTATGCGTTGCTGCATAAAGGATTTTTTTCCCTTTTGAGATTAATACTGTACTTCTAAATGTTATTCATTGAAATTTTTTTTCCAAAATAAAATATTTTTTTGCCTAAATTAATCTGAAAATCAGACTTTTAAAAATTGAAATGCAAAAGATGATTTCATTTGATTTGCACTAAATTAAACGCATTGATCTTATCAGTTCAAATTAGGTCTTCAAATTTAATATTGATATCTCACTTTATGTTAATAAATCATATCATTTAAATTTTAGGTACCAAGTTTCTCCCTCTTAAGTAAAAAAAAATCTTCAAAATAAAAATTTTACCTTATTGTCCCAAAATGATATTAAAAAAATAATATGCATATTTTTTTCATCCTTCATGACCAGTCGGACACAAACTATCATATCAAAATTATTCATTGTCCACAATTGAAAATACTGATAAAAAGTGATTTTCATTTTGAACCATTATACTGCATATAAAATTCAAACACCAAAACTTTTCCATATTCCCATATTCTTTTTTACCTCACTAATAAACAAGTTATATAAAACATGAATTTCATGATGACATCATACTGGCAGTTTAACAGTCAGATTTTAAATGAATGTCTTATCAATAATTTAACATATTCCAGCAAACACATCTTGATCTTCAGGCTTGATAAACAATCAGTCAGTACCACACGGGAATTCTTCTTCTAAACTATCTACATTTTTACAATACATGTATTTCCCTTTCAAAGGCATCCACAAGGATGTAAACCAACAAGCCAATTTTCTGTCCCTTCGACCTTTCATTTTCGTCCCCATTTTCTGTCATTGTAGGTGATATGGCCATATTCACTTATCAAGAATCAACAGAATCAAGAAAAATAAATAAGTATCGTATGCTGAATCATACTTCAAAAAATTCAGAGTCTGTCATCATCAAGACATTTTTCTGATTACACAAATAACTGAATGTCCCATCTGCTATTTTAACCATTCCTGAACAAGTAATCACATTTTTTCTATCAATGTGTTGAAAAAAGCCCACTCTTTTTCACAAAGCATTATTCATCAAAGAATTCTTCAAACAAGTGTTCACCATTGTAATTTTTAAACAGATGATAATTCTGCATGTGTTACAAAGATTAAAACCAAAAAAAAAACCAAAAACAAAAAATAGAAAAAAAATTACCAGTATGTTTTACCAAGTTTACAAGATGTATAGCACTACTTAGTGCAAACTAACTACTCATCTTATCAGAAGTATATTTAACTGGTTACACTAGTCAACAATGTTAATGTGGTGGTAAGCCTCAGTAAATGTAAGGTAAATATTTCATTTGAATGCCAAGAACAGGGAACCACATCACTCTAAATCAACAACCCTTATTGACATCATGATACTATATATATTCATATCATTTCAATACCACAATAACAATAGATAACACCAAAGGTTAGGAAATCTTCTGCACTTTAGGCAGTTCATATGTAGATTTCAGCTGTACGAAAACTTCAAATCTCAAACTCAACAATATTATAAACTGTTTCCACGGATTCCATCATTCATTATTTTTAAACACTGTAACTTGATTTCATAGTAAAATATTTCTCAAATCAAAGTGATTTTCTGTCATGATTACTACCAGCTAAATTATATGTTCAACCAATGCTAAAAAACATGTCTGAATACTTTAATGAACTAAAAAATTGTTTCCCGTGATCAAAAAGCGGTACTAATTTACAATAAATATTTGAAACATACCAGCACAACTATTTTCATTTTAAATTTAAATTTCTTATAGAAATTTCAATTAGTCAACTACATTAATTATAAATATCATTAAAAATTCAAATATCCAATGTTTCCTGAAGAATTTGATATACAAATGGACAGACAAAAATTTCATTAAATAGATATTTAAGAATTTCCTTAATAAACCTTTCCGTTTTTTTTATAATGCAGTGTTATCTGCTCTTATTAGCAGGTAGTGATATTTTTATGCCATAATTCTACATCTCACAAATATTTTATGACATTACTCTCATGAATTAATGACACACTGATCAACACCTGCTCTCAAGTGTTGATAACTCTGCAATATGAAAATACAGAATTACTGAAGATCTTCCAAATCCTTTCATGAACATCAAAAATAATTTTTTAAGCAAAAAGTACTTCAAACAAAATCAATTACGCATGAAATAAATCTTTGTTAACATATAACCTTTACATGTTATTATACATATTTGATTACAAATTTTAACAAAAGTAAAAACAAACAAGTGGTGATTTTTATTCTGAAACAGCAGTATACACAGGAAGAATGATCAATACAACTTTTGTAAGGAGGTATGGTTAATAAAAGCATGCAGTGATAGAACCCATTAACAAAGAATTAACAGATATCACTTTCGTTAGAGTGTGCAATCCAATATAACTGAAATATCAAGAAATAACATTTATAAAAATTCCTTCCATGTGCATTACAATCTGCAAGCATGTGCCAACTATCAATTCTTTGTCTTTGAGTGAGTATTTTTAGAAAAAAAAAAATCAATGTCTTTATCCGATATCAATATAAGAAAATTATATGAAAATAGAGTAATTTTTTCCTTCAAAGAACATTTTTTAAAATATGAAAAAATACTGAAAAAGACAATTAAAAATGAAAAGAAGAATCAAAGTTGAAGAGGAGTTGGGTTATTTGGTAATCCTTGTGGTTTAAATAAGAACACTTCATACAAAGACAATCACATCTTAATTTGCTTATATCAACACCCTTTACACAACAATACAATACATATACAGTTTTTGTATAGACTTTCACACAAACAAGACTTGCTCACTGCAATTAACTTCAGATGCCTCTGCCACATGCATTTCATTTCATTTTATTCTCAGAAGTGTCAGTTAGTTCCATGTTCCCCCTGTCTTACCACTCTGAGGCGTACCCCATCCCCCCACCCCTGGACTGCTGCCTGGTTCACTGCCCTGGGAGTGCGAGCTGCCCCACCCCAGGAAACTATTACTTGCTGTGGGGACTGGAGCTGCTACTGCTGTTGCCTGACTGTTGCTACCGATGCTTCCAAAGCTCTGAGCACTAGCTTGGCTTGAGGTTTCCACTGTAGGCTGGGCATTTGGGGTTGAGGCGCCACCCACATTGACTCCAACACCGGTTCCAATTCCAGTGCCAGTATTATTGCCCTGGCTGACCAAACCAATGGGGCCCCATCCCCCTTGACCACTCAACATAGCCTGGGCTGCTGCCAGCATGGCAGGGCTGATCTGAATAGGACCCAGACTCAGGTTATTTGGCATATTCCCATGCCCCATGGCAGTGCCCTGGTTAGCCATGGCCTGAGTGTTGCTTCGTCCCCCTTGACTCCATGAGCTGTGATGTGCATAACCTTGTCCATACCCGGGATGCCCTGGGGTAATTGCCTTTTTGTCATTCTGTCGGTCGTAGTTCTTTGGGGCAGCACTGCTGATGTGCACACTGGCTCCTTTGATAATGTGATCCTCACCACACAAGCCCTGCGATACATCCGAATCAGCAAAAGTTACAAACGCAAATGCTCGAAATGGTTTAGGGATAAATACATCAACTACTTCTCCAAACTTTCCAAAATACTGGCGCAAATCCTCAGCTGTCATATCATCAGTGCATCGTCCAACAAAAACCTTTCTGTTCATTACATTTTGTGCTCCTTCCTGCAATGATAAAGAAATTGTTTAGATGCAACTTTTTCCTCAGAAGGGCAATGTAGATGTAATAATCCTTCATAAACTGATCACAATACAGTAATTACTTGCAGTAACTACAAGAAAATGTTGACTCACTGTGACACCCAATCTTATCTTACTAGTAGTCATTTTTCTACTGCTTCATAAGAAGGTAACAAATTAATCTTTTTTTATTAAGTCAATGTAAAGGAAATTTTATACAGCATCATATTTACAAAAGACTGAAGTTCAATTATAATACTAGCTGCATAGTGTTATATTAATACTGAGCTATCAACTTTCGGAAACTCAAAATATAAATTTCTGAGAAGTTAAAACTACTTTCACTTTCAGTTTCAATTCTTTGAAATTATATCTGTAAATAACTCATAATCAATATTAATCCATACCTCAACTTATTACAGTACAATTATCACTATTTATCATGCATAATCTTTTAACAAATATATATATATTAAATTCCAGTTTATGACTGCGCAAATACACTACAATGAAATGATATACACTTATTTGAATCATAACTTAGTCACATAATGTACCTTTCTATTTTCTTCATAATACATTTTTAAATAATAACCTTCATCCATATTTTAAGAAAAAAAAATCAGAGATACCTCGTAAATCCAACCTACTACAATTGCTCAATGGAAAATTTAATTTTGAAAATATTTTTATACAAGGGAAATGACTCTTTCCTACACATCTACACAAGGCTTGATATTATGACTGTACTGTCAAATCTATGATAGCTTGTTTGCTGGATTTATCATCCCATGATTTGCCAAGAAAATCTTCAGGTGGAGTTTTTATAATTTGTAGGTGGTGACTACCTCTATTAACATGCTTGGGGCCTGTTGCAATTCAATAATTGGGTAAAATATATTGCCAAAGAATACAACCATGAAAGTGTGAGATGGTATGTGCAGTACATATCATGACCTCATGATCTTCATAAGAAACACAAATCAGCCCAAGTAGGGATCAAACCATCTGCCAAAATCTATATAAACACTCACTATTGCTGTCACTGTTCAACTGTTTTTACAGTGTAAGAATGTTGTTTTGTTAAAAAATATCAGGAAGTTTTAGCTGACAAGGATTAATCTCATAAAAATAAACGATTTACTCCTGTTTATCAAGTTTATGATGATTTACATTAACACAAGTTAAACCACCAGATTTCAATTTCACAGTAGAAATGAGGCCTCTGTATTTTCTAAACTTTGCCTTTTAAATTTTTTTAGTGTTTATACATACTGCCAATTCAGAAGATAAATATTACCCTAATACCTATTCAAAAAAGGCAAGTACTCAGATATGGAGTTTTAACTAACACTTCAGATATTTTGTTCAACTTGCATGTTGTAAATACGAATGGAAGACTAGTAATTTCTGCCGTAACATGTCACAGGGTTTGTCCTGCTAATGGACAAAAATATCCATGATCTCCATTTTCTTTCTCCCTTTTCCAAAAATATACAGTCAAAACTCGTTATCACGAAATTCAAGGGACTGTGGAAAATATTTCGACTGATCCTAATTTCGACTTTAAGTATCCAAATAAGGTTGACGACATCAGTTTCCTGACGTTGATTACGGGAGTTAGTGCTTTGGAAGCACAGTACATTATGTTACAAACAGAGTACTTTAATCTGTTAATTGAAATGGCAGTAAATAAACAGAAACAAATAATTTCTACTTTCTCCTTTTTATTGTTTATTCATCCAAACAATAAACATAAAAACTCTGATCGATTACATTTATACTCACTTCAATTATCATGAGTTTGAGTCATCTGAACTAAAACTACAAAGGTACCGAAGGGAACTGGAAATCATTTCAACTCAAAAAGAATTTTGACTCGAGCGATTTCAAGACGACGAGTTTCAACTGCATTAGTATTTTGTCATATAAATTTTGATGAACTAGTTCCTAAAAAGACTCGCGCTAGATAACTTCATACATTAGTGTAGTTCTAATTTTCTCTACAACATGGCAATATGTCAGGTATAGCTGTGTACAACAGTCAACCATTGTGATACATTTCAATTTTGCCCTTTATACCATTGCAGAAAAGGCAAAAGTTAACCTGTCCTGCTTATGTTATATCATACAATGACAACTAACATGAAATCACCAATGCTTCCTGAATTACCTTTGAGTTGGGTATCCTGACATCACACCACCGTCCCTCTATCAAGTGTCGAGTTGCCATGCATTTCTGCTGTGATTCGTAATCTGCAAATCGTATAAATCCAAATCCTTTCGACTGACCAGTTTTAGTGTCCTTTTTCACCTGCAGGAAAGAAAACAATATTTCTCTCTCATTTATCACAATAAGGCTACCTTTTTCCAGGCTTGCTACAAACATGCTTAGTAAATAACTAGCATCCAATTTTCTGCAATGCTACATATGAATACATTTAAGTATTTTACAACATAGCTAAAACGAAGGCAATTTTTTTGCTTCTCTTTTTGTGATATTGTATAGATATGATGTATTTCTCAATTTCAATTGTATAAGTGACGCAACACTTTTCAGTTGATGTGTGAAAAACATAATACTATATATATTTTCTTTATAATTTGTACAAAAATAATTGCTACCTGTAACTATATCTGTGATATATTAATTGTATACCTTGTTAGTTAAAAATATGCTAATTTTTGCACAAGAAATAAAATGTATGTAAATGTTTAAGTAAATATATACTGTAAATCTTACTAATATGATAACTAAAACTTTCATTGAATAAAACATTAATTAATACATATATCTGGAAATGTAACTGGCTAAATTATGATACATTTATATATAATTACACACACAAAAATTTACAGAATTTGGTTATATATACATATAAACAGCCAGTTTGGTTTCCAACCATATGTATTAAATATGTTTTACACAATAAGCATGCCAGTTGGATTTCTTATATATATATATATAAATTTTTTGAGAATTTACAGTGACATAAATTACACACTCACTGCCATCATTGCAACTATTTTGTACCTGATATATTAAGTCACCAAATATATATATGTGTATACCTGAACCATAAGTAGGTCACCAATAGTTGAAAAATATTTTCGGAGGTCTTCTTCTGTACTCTTCCAAGGAAGACCAAGAACTATGAGGTCGCTGCATTTTGATTTTTCGTGTTTCCTCCTCACCATAGTGTTGTCAATTACAGGATTCTCTTCACGCACACGCTTGCACTCATTCCCAGCTGATAAAAAAGAACATAAGAATATAAAACTATTTCATGCAACAATCAATTTCTAGAAAATATCTAAATAGAATTAGTTATGTGCAGTGATATCAATATATATTTCAATTATCTACCACAATGCTGTACAATTCTTGATCTTGAAACATAAATGTATGTGTATATCATGTTTTACATGTATCAATTGAATGAAAAATCTTATGAAGTCTCGCTTAATTTTCATAAACTCTAGATCAGCTATATTTTAGGAAAATATAAGGAATGTTACGATAACTCTCAGTTAGCTAATTTATGATCAACCACCTGTTTTAAATTCTGGTGTGAACACTCTCAGTGTGATTGTAAAATTAAATGACTGACAACAATAAACTACCAGGTTAATAATGTCAATCTCCCAGTCTTTTTGATATTTTTAAAGCTACATGATTTATCTTAACTAAAAGTTTAAAAAATAACAAAGACAACTTAACAATGAAAGAAATAACCAAAGTTAAAGGAATTTTCAAGAAAATATTATTTAATATTTATGGAAAAGATTGCCAATCTATTCTGTTAATTATATATTATATTAATGATTAGTGTTTCGTTAACGATATTTCTTCACAGGTAAAATTATGGTACAAGTATAACACATATTAAGTACATAGCATATATTCCAACTAATATCACAGATTTTGAGAATATATTCCAATAGTTTCCTTTAATATGGAAAAATAAACAATATTTCCAGTTAAACATGCCAATCTACTTTGTTTAACAACGATAACAGGTAAAATTTTGTATGATATTGTTTAATTTCCCTATATCGAATAACCATTTCCTTGTAAAAGATAAGAGTTACCGCCCTTAGCTGTCAAACTTATTTCGCTGTCAGTTTCGCTTTAGCCAAACAAACACATGCTATTTGAGTGAATAAAAACGTATTTGCTAATTTTGTCTATGCAATTGTATTCTTGAAATCTTATTTAATCATAATGCAACGATGATTTTGATGTTTATGAGACCAAAATGTCAAAAACAGTGGGAAATTCCAAGGCGTCTGCTCCAGCAAAAAACTCCGAGCGTCATCTAGACCCCATAGTTCTGATCCTTGTAAACTCAAACAACTTACTTTTAGGGAATACTGCGATGAACATTCTGTTCCCCCATTTGCCATCAGGTGGATAAAGACGTCCATCAGACAATCGAATTCCTCTGAAAGCACCAGAATCTGGATTTCTATATTTCAATCCACAAGCCCCTGGAAACTGAGCAGCTAGTGTTGACAGCAGAAGAGTTCCATCGTCCTCGCTTGGAACCTCCATTGGATCGTCGCCTTCATCCTCGGTTACCTGAATATACTGACTCATTCTGATTGTGGACTACATACACATTCTTGATGAAATCACTCAAAACTGTCCTCAAATTTGAGAATCCCGCCGTAGTCCCGAAATGAAGTGCGCGGCGTTCCAAGATGGCTGCTTCTGTTGACAATTTCTGCGATTGCTACGCCATCTTGCGGTTGACCTATTTCTCACAGTTTCTACTCAAGTTATTTCCCCTGAAGTGGTAGGGGATTACAAGTACGTGAAAATCATCCTACATCTCAGTATTAATACCAATAGATAATAGCCTCGTGTAGACCTAATTATAATATACCGAATTGTAAAATATCTGCAAGGGTGTCAAAATCGGAAAATTGCCAAAATCGGAAAATTGCCATACTTTCACCGCAATTAAACAGTAATAAAAGTTATCAATTTGCTAGTTTGTTCATTCTGTATAGGCTACAAACATGCAAACTTTTACAAACACGTATTTAGTCAGTACATATTTTCTTATTCTGTCTTATCCCCAAGAATGAATGTATTGTTATTGGCGTGTCAATTAACATAAACCTGCATCTCAGTATAGGTTTGTGGAATCTGTCAAAAATGTATGGAATCAAATATGTACATACGCCAACAGTGCATTTAAAACGTCATCTTAAGGCATGGTATCGTTTCAACATTTTCAAATTACTTCTTCGATCAATGTATAATTAACAGTAACAATATAGTACACTTAACATAAAGATATATTAAATAAACAAATAAATAAATAAATGAATAAATAAATAAAAAAGTATGGCAATTTATACCGGTCTTTGTAAAATCCACGCTACAATTTTCTGCAGTTATACAGCTGCATATTATCTGTATATTTTACAGCCCAAACTTTCATAATGAGCAATTTTACCTATATATGAATATTTTCATCTCCCAAATGGGAACATTTTCGTGCAAACACTAATGGATCCCAATTTTCTACAACAAATCTCTGAATCAAATTACACAATAGTCGCTGGTAAAATAAAATGACAAGAAAAATTATTATTTGATGAAAGAGTGTTCCGATTCCGTATAAATTACCGGGACGTCAACGATGTTACGAATAGTCGATCGGTAGGGTGATATTCGAATAAGAAAATTATATTCGAATATTCTTTTTCACAATTTTAAGATATCAACGTTGGGAAAATCGCTGAAATAAATCTGTTTACTGTCGACGAATCGTCCAATTTTCATTCTGGATAAAATTTTTGTGAACTAAATTATCCAATTATTAGTAATGTCCAAGTTCACTGACTACCCTATCGCCGAAATAAAGTAACAAAAAAGAAGAAGAAAAAAAGAAGAAAAAAAAAAACGAAAAAAAAATTAAATTAAACTTCAATGTTTTTATCATATCTCACCCGCTAATTCTGAATTGTCGGAACTAGGTATAATATCTGGTCCAATGTGTTTATTGTATAACTCAGAAAGGGAAACGATTAATCACTTAATGTGAAAATGTCAGCGGAAGTACAAAATTTAAACAAAGTCTAGAATCACACCGAGATTCTCTATATATATTTTTCGATTACACTAACAAACACTTTTTCCTATTCTGGTTTATCAGTGAGAGAAGTCGTGATTGCTGACAACATGGGAATTATTATCATTAAACGATATACGTATAGTAACAGACGTCTTAATGAGTCTTTAAGTGTCAGTTCTTTAGTCAACAAAGTAATTAAAGATTACTATAACGAACGAAAGTACATATCAATTAGTAGAAATTACTTTTTGACAAAAAAAAAAGAAGAAGAAGAAATACTAGGAATAAATGAAAACCACCATTATTCATCCAGATGTGAACATTTTCGCCTACTTATCCTTCACATTCTTCTAATTATCTCGGGCATACAACACACACCCACTTCTCAAATCTTAAATCCTTATCTTTTCATATTTAGTGAAAAGATACATCTTCAGCACTTAAGGTTTATCATTTGTCTGTTCTTTTCCATTCATTTTTTCTGTAACATATACTTGTTCTGTGATTTGTAAGTATGCAAATAAGTCTAGTTTCTATTGTGTGTAAGCATGTACATAGATAAAACACATCTATGTGTGCATGACACTACTAAATGTGGTGTGTTTACGGGAAACACTCTAAAAACGTAGATCACTGTGTGGTTGAAACTGTGAATGGTTTCTGTTTGTATGTTAAATCATATCGAGATTACAGGTGGTAGTTCCCGAGGTCTGCCGTTACCTACCTACGATTACAGGTGGTAGACACTGTTGATGGTGGTAGGTCTGCCGTTACCTACCTACGATTACAGGTGGTAGACACTGATGATGGAATTCTAGTTCCCGAGGTCTGCCGTTACCTACCTACGATTACAGGTGGTAGACACTGATGATGGAATTCTAGTTCCCGAGGTCTGCCGTTACCTACCTACGATTACAGGTGGTAGACACTGATGATGGAATTCTAGTTCCCGAGGTCTGCCGTTACCTACCTACGATTACAGGTTGTAGACACTGATGACAGACTTCTAGTTCCCGAGGTCTGCCGTTACCTACATGCCACGTTTAATTCACTCAAACAGTGGCACGGTTCAGAATGTACACATGAACTTGACGTTCTCCAAAAATTATCAGATATTTGAAATTTACGAAACTGACTGAATTAAGAGGATAGTACACCTTCCTATCTTGATTAAGACATTTCTTTCCATCATTTTGTATTTTGTTTAGTTACCTCCTAGGTTTCAAATTTAGGCCCCTAGCATCAGTGAAGAGTCCTAGAAGGATGAAATAGGATGACGCAGCTTCATTCTTTTTAGCTCTACCATATCTTATCAAAATTGGTATTAAAATGTGTTATTCACTTGTGTGTCTTTTGAACAACCCTGTTATATGTAATGTGAATTCAAAATAAACAATAAACAATGAAAATGCGATTGAATATCAGCTTATCATTGTTAACCGATTTCACCCCGTAAGGGCATTCAAATCACAATTACTTTTTAACAACAACGCCGTATTACATAATGGCCGTGATCAGTATCCGAGTATACAAGTCAGTGACCTCAACTAATTATCTGATCAGGAATTTTCGTCAAGACTGGATATTGCTTTGAGTCCATGTCATTCACATGTAAATTAAATTCTACGTTGAAAACAAACTTCATAGTCAAGAGATGATTGATCTTAGTGGTTAACATATTTCAAATTCTCGGGATTGATGACAACTGCAAACAGTTTTCATTAGATCGGATAGATATTTGGAAATTTCCAAAGTCACTAGACAAAGTTGACTGAATTGTAAAATTTGCAAGCCATCATGGTTGGATACGGCGGCCAAATTCTGACGAGTTTATTTTGATGAAGCCCAGGACAATAAGATATAAGATCATGCACTGATGATATCAGGTATTATCAATTACATTAACTCCAATATTTCTCAGGCAAAAATATAATAAAATCCAAAGTTCTAATTAAAAAAATTAAAATAAAATAAAATATACATGTATGTTAACTAGTTAAATATACACAAGCATATGTGTAAAAATCCAATCTTTATACGTATTACGTACATGTATATTTTTATATGCTAAAAATGACCACGAAAAAGAAATATCCACGAAAAATTATT